TTCCAGAATATTATTTATTCTCTTTCATACTAATAATATTTCTATTATTATTCAAATATTCATGCTAATTTTCTTCAAATTAAAATATAGAATAACTATAACTAAAATTCAGTGTAACAAAACAGAAGTCTGTCGCTTTACATAAGTAGTCTTAATAAAAGAAAACTTTATTAATTTTTTTCTCATGAAAACAAAAACGGCTCATTCTGATTTAAATAGTCCAAAATACAGTAACTACATATGTACAATACCTTTTACGACTCATTCACTACGGGATGCGTCGATCGTAATCGTTCACTGATTGTAATACCAAAGCTTGACTAATGTTTTAGATCACCTATACAATGATATTAGATGAAAAAATTACAATTTGTTGAACATTACATGAGACAGTTTTTTCTCGGTAAAATGCTAAGTTTTCCAAAATAAGCTTTTAATCAAACAATCTAAAATCGTTTTTTCGAAACCATTTTCTTAATATTGACATCATTTCTTGTTTTAGAAGATATTAATTCTTCTAGACAAATTCTATTTAATATTTCAATGACATAAGTCAATCAGATGATGAATGAAGTATTTCTAGTATAAAAATGATTTAATTACAGTTCGAACAAATGTTTTTATTCATCAATATCTTTGTTACATTATTTCTAAGTTAGATTTCAACATTTTTAAAGTCACCCAATTTTATTTTATCAATTTCTGTTTTCAGATCATCAATAATTTTTTCTACGAGACGAAAACCATCGTCGTTTGAGAAATGGTTTCGAAAAAAATCGTACAAGCCTTGCCATATATGTAACTGAGAATCTAAAAATTTTCTGCAGTAAAAAACACTCGCTTCATTGTGAATTTTACGTAAGAAGTCTCTCGATAAAACATCGAGGCTTGTTTTTCATCCAAGACTTGAAGACTTTCTAATGAAAACTAGTCAATGCTTACTCATGGCTGACTCATCTATTGTTTGTTGCTAAGAATTAATGTTAGATACAGTCTTAGAAACATTGAAACTTTGGATAAAACTTACTGAAATTTGTAACGAGTGTATTTCTGTGGGAAAATTATCTTATACATGCCGCTTGGAAAATTCCAACTTCAATATGTCGTATGAAAGGAAAGAAAAAAAAATGTCAACAAACAGACAGAAAGGGTAAAAAATGTAACATTAATCTTCAACTAGCAGAAAAATAAAAGAAGATACATATTAAAACAAACTTGTGACGCTAATAAAGCATTGTTAGACTTTCTAAAGCTAAAAAATAACCAAATTGAAAATCATCTATTTTCTTCTCATTTTTGCATGAATTTCACGCCAGTGGAAACTTTATGCAGAAAAATAATAGACCAATGCAAACATCACCTAGATGTTTATTTTATTGGTGATAATATTTTATTTTATATGCACACGTGTAAAGGTGAATTGATTTCATTTGCAAAAGAAAAACATATTTTGAAAACAAATTTACTTACTAGCAGCCAGGTAACCAAAAAAAATTCGAATCAATGAAAAATAATTCATTGTTTTGCATGATATAGTTAAAATCGTTTATTTCATTCTTCTTCATATCTTTCTTTAACTGAATAATAATAGTGACTAATTAATTAAATCTCAATGAACGAAATAACTTAAAAAATATTGAAAAATCATTGAATTTGAAAAACAGGATATGATTGTTCGGATCTTCTGTTCATTCGCACCATTTATTTGTTTTTTTCCTTCCTACTTCTATCTATTAGGAATATATCCATTAAATTTTAATTGTATACAAAAATCTTTTTCACATGAATGGTAAGATTTCGTCATTTTTGCGAAAAAAAGACTACCTATTGGAAAATTAGACGTCTTTTCGACAATGTATATCATAGATTCCTAATAGAAGGCCCCCCTAAAAATTTTGTTTGCTCCGCCATTATAGAAGGCCCCCGGGCCTTTTAATGCGAGGGGGGTTATTAAGAATACTTCCTATTTAACCAAGTGCACATGCACTTTTGATTTTTTCCAACTTCGTTTTTTGTATTTGCGATCCAGGACAGCAAACACATTTACATGCCTATTATCAGATATGTGTATTATGTGATATGGCAAACAGTAAATATTTAAATTAAATGCGTAATTCAGCACTGGATGTAAGAGGACACACACAATGATTGAATTCCAGGTAAAGGGACGTTGTGAGGACAAATTTCAAAAGCTGAGAGTCCTCACGTCTCAGGCGCAAATGTTGAATACGTTTCGAGTATAGTACTTTTATTTACAGAACATGTTTCAATCTTTTCGTCTGAAAACAAAGAAGAAAAATACTGTTGCATATACAGTTCTCTTGCGCGCACCCTAGAATTAATTCGTAGTTATTTGTTACAAAATCTATTACAAACTACGTACATACAATATTTTATCTTCTCACTATCAATTGTGTTTTATAAAAAGAAAAATAGTCGCGCAATTATGCATTACAACGTCATTAAAATTTGATAAAAAGAGAAAGAAACGTTGATAATTAGATGTTTTTTACTATTTAAAAAGAATAAACAATCAAGGTTTAGTTTGAAACATACAAGGGTTGAACAAATTTAGTTATGCAAATGATCACCTTCATTGATGACTTCTACAGTTGAGAGAAACAAAACTCAATACATGATTCCACTGATTTTTTGAAGATACAGTTTCAGAGGACAGTATTGATTCAAGAATATTCCAGTTAAAACAGAGTTGTTTGTTGCTCACACAAACAAAAATAGACTTTCGATCTCGGTAAAAAAAAAATGCAGTCATGGTAATTGTTCATTTACTATAAAAGTACTTATTTAGAATAACTTCTATTAACTCTACAGAAGCCAATCAACCATCTGAATTCAGTTAGTTTTTTTCACTTAAACAGTGACATCCATAAATGTCAACAAATAAATCCAATAGTTACACTTCACAAGTGTCAATTAGCATTCTATCATTTTTCTGTTAAATGTACATTTTCAATCGTTTTACTTTGAAGGACTTTTTTGATCACAAAATATACGACTATATAAAACGAAATAGAAGATTTAGAGAAAAGTTGGCTGAAAATAATGCCCATCAATGGTTATCACTATATCAGTGAAAAACGGAACATAAATGGCTCGATGATCACTGCATGTGTTCTTTTTATGATTAATAAATACATCTACATTCGGAATATTAGTTTTTCGTCAGTATAAACTATGGAAATTAAAATTTAGCAAATCGAAAGAACAAGAACTGAATGCCTATTATTTATTCGTAGTATTATCCGATGTTTTTCGTTTTCAATAAAAAAAAAAACTCCTAAAATAAAAGAATATTTACTCTCATGATTTTCCAAATAACTTTCGAATGTTTAATAAAGCATGAAAATATTCGGATGTGGTCTTGAGTCTATTTCACTACAATAAAATAATGGAATTAAAAATTGTTTTAAAAGTAACTCGAAAGCAATCAAACGTATATAAAATTTCCATGGATGAAAGCATGCAATGGCATTATTTCTAGCTAAGATATTTACGCAAAATTCTTTGAAGCCTATGATTGTTGATTCATGAATTTTACAATTGACCATTGTCTTCACCTGATCAATATATACGTAATGTGCATTGTTCCGAAATCAACTACTCTATTCTGTGTTTGTTTTTAATTTTCATCACCTCGAAGTTATTTAATCTTCGAACACTACCTCGTAACGTACAGAAGAAAAATCTCATTATAAAAACAATCACAAATATTGACTTTGTAAATGATTTTCATAAAATTAAAACTTATGATCGAATGAAATGTTCTACGAATATTTCATCAAAACAGATGCTAAGACAATTCGTCATGAATGTAGGTTGAACGGATGTGTAGTTCGGGGTGGCTGTGAGGATGATGTGGGTGTGAACTGGGTTTAAGTATGAAGATAGATGTTCTTTTCAACCACATTCACACCCTCAGTAAAACATTTATAACCAAAAACTGAATTCTGAAAGGAAATAATCGTTTTCATGATTTTGAAACCTTATTGTAGTCTACCTATGTTTAAGAATAAAATATAAAGAGGCTTAAACATTACAGTGTGTGACTTCGTTAATTTGTTCCTTGAAAGATCATCAATTATTTTGAATATAATTTTCGCATTCAACATTTTCTTGTTTTCTTTTTATTTCATGACATAATAATTTTGAGTTATATTAGTAATATATTGAAATTGTCTGAACCAGATTACATAAGAATGTTAACAGTTGTCTACTAAGTTATAATATCCCATATGCTTGGTTAGAAATAATAAATATAAAATATGAGTTTTGAAAAGATTTGTATATTCAATATCTGGCTTCTAATTTCTATCTAATAAACCGGGATGCATATTTGATCACACGATTTGCATATACAAATCCTTTCAAAAATAGAGTAACGAGGAGTTGTTCGGCACATGATTTGGAATTTTCTTCTCATAATGCTCATAATTATTTATTTTAAATGATGGAAAAAAAAACTTTTGGTGCAAACTTTGTGGAGGAAATACTTTTCTATTCAATCATAGTTTTAAGTGAGATCTGCTATGTAATGTGCCAAAATCATCTCACATGGAATCATTTGGCAATCAATGTACATATGCGGAGTGATTTGGGAATCCTAGATATTTTAGGCATAGACAATAAAAAATAGTTTTTCAAGCTAATATCAAATCGAGTTTTGATGAAAAATATAACACTGAATAGCCCAATGTTTTCTCTACAAGTCTATATTAATCTTAATTTTCAAATATTCACCGGATCCAAACACAATCAGTTATAAAAATACCTCTGCAAAATTTTTCTCATTGAAACTACTGCTAAATAGAAAAATATTTTCTCTACACACTTTGTAATGAAAGCTTTTTCTATTAATTAAAATAAAACAAGTTATAAGCATTATAAGAAAAATGTTGAAAATTGTGTGCAGAATCTCCTCTTGTTACTTGGCAACAATCTGAATAGATCTAGATTAATATAAAAAATGTTCGTTGATAAAGTTAATGACCATTCGGATCATCGTCATCACCTCGAGTTTCTACACAGGTGATCCCAGTGTCATAACTTTCTGTTTCTTGCGGCTCTTGTGAAACCATTTCATTTGCATCTTGTTCGATCGGGGTTTGTTGAACATGCATTGACGACCCCGCATCATGACCCAATTCACATGACAAGAGCGTATCAGAAATATCAGTGAAATTTGGTGACATTGTTAATGTTATTGGACGATTTGCAAGTGATGTAGGTGATTGTTGAGATTGTGATTGTTCTCTTCGTTCTATTTCTTGTTTTATCATTAATTGGTGAATATGTATAGGTAATCCAGGATTAAGGCTCAAAGCATATGGTAACAATGTTTTTGGCATGTCATCAAAATCAACCATTACTTTAATAAACATTGTATCTTCTCTTACATATGGATTACCCTCTTGTTGAATCATCGTCAATGGAAAGAATTTAGGTATACCACTAGCAATATACATTTCTGATTGTGGTCTTTGAGAACTATTTGATTTAATATCAGGACGAAATGAATCGATGATATGTCGTTGTTGAGGAGTTTGATCATACAGACAAAATGTAACTTTATAATTGAATGGAAATTTTAGTATTGCATCATTTGGGCCACGCATGAGAACAAAAAACAATGACATATGTGTACGTCGAGCATTGCCATCACCATTAAGATAAAGTCTAGCTCGCATTTTATAGCCAGTAGATGACGAATAGAATGGAGGTGAATAAATCGATGTTTGTCGTTCAGATTGAGCATCCACTAGAAAATGAATAAATCAATCAAAACATGTTTTTAAAGTTTATTTTCTCTTCCCTTTAATCAATAAATTTATCATCATTATCAACGAAGAAATTCACTCGTCTATTTCGATGATATAAACTTGTTTTTCTTCAAATGGAACTTACTCATTTTTTCATGAAAATTCGTTATTTTCCATATTAATGTTCCATCATAAGATACATATTGCATATCATCAACTTTTTGTTTCAAAGATGCTACATCTTGCTGTAGAATCTCTTGATTAGGTTTAACACCGTCTAAAAAAGAACTTTGTTCTTGAATACTCAGTTTAAGTGATGAAAATTCTTGTGTGACAGATTCAATTGAACTTTGTAATCGAATAGATTCACTACTAAGACGTTGTGTATCATCATTTAATGTCTGAATTCCACTAGCAAGAATATTTAATGTTTCATATACTTCTTGCATTTGTGTACTGATATTTTCATTTGTTGTTGT